GCCAGGTGCCAGTGGGGTAGGAGGAGACTGAGGACCTGGGCAAAGAGAGGCTCAGTGGATTAGAGCAGAGCAACTGAATAGCCCAGGATGGTCCACCCCCAACCACAAAGCCCCTCACAGGTACAGAAGGATAGCCCTGAGGGGTAGTGCCACCCCTTCAACTGTGGGCGGCATTCCTTCTCTGCCTGGAAATTTTTGCCTTTTCTACAAACATCTATTTTGTTTTAAAATTTACCACTAAGGTGTGGGGGAGGCCCAGGGTCAGGTGCTGCAGGTACCTGGGGTAAGAGGTGCTGCTGGGCCCTTCAGCCCCGTGGTCTCCACAATGCTCCCATCTGTGTGTACAACTATTAGTGTGGCTTTCTCAGTGTTCAGGCTGTCCCCGATCTGCAGGGCTGTCCTACCAGACTAGAAGGAAAGACACTCTTGTCAGCTCTAGGATAGCCAGAGGCACATCACTTGACCCAGTGGAATGTGGCCCTACTGCAAGACTCTCACCACTAATCAGCAAGGTAGGATGTTTACCTCAGCCCACACATCCTCTCCACAGACATCCCCAAGGCACACACGGACAGAACCGAGAAAAGCGCCAAGGCTACTGAGTGCCCACACACCTGTCAAAGCTGAAGTGATCAGATACAGTTTCTTTCTGGACACTGAGCACGTCTGCCTTGTCTAAGAAGACTGTGCCCAGTTTCTGAAGGCTACATAGAAAGCAGGATGGTGTGAACAACCACAGAAAGTCTGCTTATGGACACAGGTGCTACTGAAAGCATCCTGGATGCTAATGCCTTCATGAGTGAATGCGAGGAAAGAACTAATGGACAGTAAGCCTTGGAGACAGGGCAGAGAGGTCGGATACAGGGACTCCTTGTGTGTCCATAGATCTCAACGGAATGCATGCAAAGCCAGGCACTGAGAGGTAGCTCTATTAGGGGCTGAGAGCAGCCTGAGCCTGGTAGAACACAAGCTGCAAGGCCAGCTGGCATGGAGGATGGCCTGATCCAAGCCTAAGGGTTCTTCACAGCTCTCGCTCTGCCTTTCTGGGTTTATACAGCACCTTTCATGTCGGGGACCCAAAGTGAGGATAAAGCCCTAACTCAAAATGGTTCACCTGACTTGCCTAGCCCGTCCCTGAGGCTCCCGAGAGCACAGGGAGGCACGCAGGCCCCCTCCCCATGGCCCCCAGATCAGCAAGTGCTCACCCACACCTAAACCCTGAGAGGGTCTTGAGTATTCCTCTCGTGGGCTATGCCAAGTCAAAGGCTCTAAGGACAGTTCCAGGCACCCTGAACTACACCCAAGAACAGCTTACCAGGACATGTCCTGATATGGATGCCGCGTTTGCCACTGATGTTGTGAAGACGTTATCTGCAGAGGACCCCACATTTGCCACGGTCACTGTAGTCACTTCTGCAACAGAATGGAACAGAACAGAGCTTCACTCATGGGAAAGGAAGAACACAAAAGGCAAAGATCTTAGGAGCTTTACAGTGCCCCACATGAGTATACGCACTCCTCCCAGACATGTTAACACTAGTGCTGATGTTCAGCTGACCTCTCTCGTCCAGTCTAAAGTACTTGCTTCTCCCAGAAAACGGGGTATCTACCCTTTCCCACCAAAGCTTTTCACATGCGGCCAAAGATTCACCATACCCTCCCATTCCACTTCGCCACTGCCTTTCTCCCTTTGCAAAGAAGCTGCAAGTCTCAGGCCTGGGACACCTCCTTGACGACCAAGACATGGCAAACTCTAGTTCTGCCTCACCCCTCTCCACTGTCATAGCTCAGGCCATCCTACAGTCTTGTGTCCACTGTCTGAGATCTCCATGTCATCCTTCCCCAGAAATTCCTCCTCCTGAAAAACACGCCAACCTGCCATGCCCCTGATGCTTCCGCCACACATGCCACTAGGTTCTTCTGTATCCTGCTGCCTGCTACTATGTATCTTTTGCAATTGGCCTTTCCAATCTCTACCACAGGTTCTGTCAGGCACCCAGCATTCTAAAATGCCCAACACCCAGGGAAACCTCTGGCATAGAAGTACCCGAAGATGCCAACTGGAGTCCTGCCAGTCCCATTAACCCAGCCCTGACCAACCTGTACCCTATACCTGTCTAGTTCATATCCACATAGCAGTCCATACATGGGCATACCTAATTAATTCATCAGCTTAGCTAGCACTACGTCACCTGGACAATCTCTGACTTCAGAAACTTAGAACAAAAAAGTAGAAACGCTCTGATACATAAATATACAACTAAAATTCTGATACACCAGAGATGCAATTCTCTCATGCTACCATAGACAACATCATATTTCTTTTCTGAACTCGAAAAATATGTGCCAAAAGGATAAAAACTTCATGGCTCCAGATCCCACTATCAACCCAGAATTTACGGGTGAAAAAGAAGTATTAAAAGCTCTAAGAAAATCCAGGCAGTGGTAGTGCATACCTTTAATCCCAGCACTTGGGACACATAGACAGGTGGATCTCTGAATTCAAGCACACCCTGGTCTACAGAGTTTCAGGACACAAAGAAACCCTGTCTTGAAACAAACAAAAAAGCTCTACAAAAGAGACCAGAGAGATGGCTCAGCAGTTAAGAGTACTGGCTGCTCTTCCAAAGGACCTGGGTTCTATTCCCAGAACCCACACAGTGGTTGGTTACAAGGTCTGTCACTCCAGGCACAGATACAGAGATAATACATGTAGTCACACACACTAAATGAATTAACTTAATTTGTTTGTTTTTCAGACAGAGTTTCTTTGTGTAGTCCAGGATGTCCTGGAAGTAGCTCTGTAAGCCTGGCTGGCCTCGAACTTGCTGAGATCTGTCTGCCTCTGCCTCCTGAATGATGGGATTAAAAGCATACAGCCCAGCCAAAATTAACTTTAAAAAACAAACACCTCCAGGAAGGGACCAGTGAGATGGCTCAGATGCTGAATTCCAATCACCCATGCTAGGTGCTCATAACCATGTGTAACTCCAGCACCTGGATGATCTGGTACCTCTACCTTCCACAGGCACCTGCGATCACATACTCATGTTCACATACACGCACAACAGGAAAAATATTATCTTAGAAGAAAAGCTCCAGGAAGTCTCCCTCACTTCCGTGACTCAATCTAGATTTCAGGTAGACAAGCAGAACCAAGACTTCTCCACAACTGTGCTCCAGTCTTCATGCTCTGAACAAACACCCAGAGTCGATGCGCCTCAACTCTGATGTACCCCGAAAAGAATCCCAATACCAAACTTACAGAGCTTCATATTGGGAAACATCTAGCAATACAAAAAGCATAGCAAAATGATGGCATTCCAAGGATCAATGTACAAGTATAAGACATTCAGGAGCTCCAATTGGTAGGGAGTTCAGCATTCAGGAAGGTCAAAGGTTGGGGGTTACGGTGGGACTGTAGGAGGTAGTGTGGTGTGACATCATCTGTACAGGGTGATGCAGCTCAGCCTGCGGCTTCATTTGTCACCAACCATGAAAATTAGGGTACCCTATGTGTCAAGAAACCAAAAGGAGCAAACCAGAAAACTAAGTAATGGAGAAGGAGGGAATATCTGCACAGGAAAAGGCAGACTTAGAAGACCCAGCACAAGGACACTCGTGTCACTATAAGGCAAGGCTGATCTGCATATTACCTTTGAAAAGCTGCCTGCCTTGGAGGACTTTCCTGGCCCTCTGTGATCAGGTCACACTTGAACTGGGCTTTGGGGCAGGCAGGTCTACCAGCAGTAATGCCGCTGATCAAACCTGGAGCACCTTCAGAACAAAATTCACATATCCAGGAAGCAGCAAGAGAGGACACGGCAAGTAGTAGGTATTGAGAAAGTTCCAAAAGGGTTAAAAAAAAAAAAAAAAAAAACAGAGCAGAGAGGGACATTCACACAAGGAAAAAAAATATGTATACAATGCTGTGCCAGGCTAGTGGAGTGTGCAAGATGGGTATGCAGGGCATTGGGAGGTGTGTGTGTGTGTGTGTGTGCAAGATGGGTATGCAGCAGGGCATTGTGAGATGCAGGGCAGGGACAGAGCAAGTGTGCAAGACATTATGAAGTGCATGGGCAGGCGCAGAGTAGGTGTGCAGGGCATTGTGAGGTGCGTGGGCAGGTGTGAAGTGCGTAGGTAGGTGCAGAGCATGTGCATAAGGCAGGTGTGAGGTGCAGAGACAGGAGTAGGGCAGGTGTGCAGGACACTGTGAGGTGCACTGGCAGCGCAGGTGCTGGGCAGATGTGCAGGACAGGTGGAAGAGGAGAGCTTTCCTGTGAGACAGATGTGCATGACAGATGCATAAAGCATATGGGAAGCGGCCTGTACGTGGTGCATGTGTTCAGGGCTTGTACGCGGGAACCCGGTGAGGCGCGAGGCCGGCGGGCGCACTTGCCTGCGAAGGCGGCGGCGGCGGCGGCCTCATCGGGGCTGGGCAGAGCCTCGGTACCCATATCCATGTGCCCAGATTCGGCCGCCATCACCGCCACAGCCGTGACCCGCCGCGTCTCGCGCTCCGCCTCGGAGTCCGCGTCCTCCTCCGAGTCCTCGTCTCTGCTTAACACCGGCTCCTCCGCTTCGCTTTCTGCTG